CCCAAGTGGTTGCCTCAGGGGGATACCAACTAAAAAATGTCAAATGGAACTTCCCATATTGTAGTATATCGTTTGAAAGGGCACAAAAAAGAAAATTTTTGGCGCAAACCGGTGATTGATACGTTGATCCGTTTGGGAGTTATTTAGGGTTAAAGTTTGAAAAACCAATTTTCAAAAAATTGTTACTCCCATTTGGAAAATCCTAAAAAAACGTTCGAGATGTGAAAGTGTTCAGATTTGACCTTAGTTTTCTTAAAGGATACGCAAAAAATTGTTAAATTCAAGATAACGCCAAATTTAGTGCACCCCCTTGGGGAGACAACTCTTCCAATCCCCTTCAAAGAGTAGCCTCTCGAAATGATCAAACATATATTTCACGGTTTTTCATAATATTGAGCCGTTTTTGAAATATAGGGGATGAGGACAGACTTTGTAAACATCCTGTATAAATCTATAGCATATGGCAGTCGATGTATATAATATATCACAATACATAATACACACACAACATGCTTTTATTACTTTATTAAAAATAACAATAAATGTAGAGAGAGAGGGAGGGGAAAGGGAGAGGGGGGAGGGGGAAGGGAGAGGGAGAGAAACATTTGTTTGATCTTGCGATTACCTTGAAAACACCTGCCAAGATTAACTTTAAATTTTTAAATAGGAACCTGTGCTTTTTATTGCATATTCTTGTAGCGTACCTTAAGAGCTTTTCAAGACACTATAATAAAGTTCCTTTCCATTAAGTATTTTCCGAATTATGAAGCTTAAAAAAAAGGTACAGTACTGCCAGCATTAGTATTACCCAAAAGTGATTTTTACGTGACCTTAACAATGCTATTTAAAGTCACACTAACATTGCTACTTAATACGCCATTTAAAACCTTACAACTTTTATTTGAAACATTTTTTACAAAAATGCTTTGTTTTCGAGATTTGAGAAAAATGTTTCAAATAAAAGTTGTAGGGTCTTAAGTGGCGTATTAAGTAGCAATGTTAGTGCAACTTTAAATAGCATTGTTAAGGTCATGTAAAAATCACTTTCGGGTAATATTAATGCTGGCGGTATTGTACCTTTCAAGCCTCATAATTCGGAAAATACTTAATGGAAAGGAACTTTATTATAGTGTTTTGAAAAGCTATTAAGGTAAGTTACAAGAATATGCAACAAAAAGTACAGATTCCCATTAAAAAATTTAATATTAACCTTGGCAAGGGTTTTCAAGGTAATCGCAAGGTCAAACAAATTAGCGTCATCTGTCTCCCTTGATATCTTACAATTTTTGTCTGAAATATTTTTCCGTATCTTCCATATTTTTCGAGATATTTGTGCACTCAATGCCATAAACACTTAAAATATTAAAAGGTTGCATAAATTTTTACATATTCGAGGCGTATACATCATATCTAGATATTCGTTCATCGTGATCTTTGATTAAAAAAGCACTACTACACAGAGAGAAAAATTTCTTTGGATTTAATAAATTTGGTTGAAAACAAAGAAATATAATGCTTGGAATGGTCCAACCATACTAATGTTTGAAGTAACAAATTTACTTTAAATAAAATATTTTTTGAATGAATTTCACTTTTTCTTCAACTTAAACAACTATATTATTCTTTCAAACAATATTTTTCTTTTATTCAAAAGATTCATTATGTTGCTTTTAACAATTTAAATAAATCTTAAAACAAGTTTGATAAAGTTAAATTGCACGTTACTGCATCTTTTTAATCAAATCTTTGAAGCATCTTAGGGCCATAGCATGTAAAAAAACTTAACTTTACTTATTCGGAATTTCTGTCCGAATAAGTGAATATCGCAAATTTATCTGTCCGATTTTTCAAAAATTAGTTCCATTATCTGAATTCTCTTCTATGGAGATCGTACCAAAAATGAAATTGATAGAAATAGTTGTTAAATGTTATTAGCCGCATTTTGCAGACCTTATTCTTATTCATATACGCTTATTACAGAAACTTGAATACGAGTATAGTGAAGTATAGCGTGCCGCATAGCGGTAAGCGAATAAATTATACTATTCCAAATAATAGTTACTTTCCGTCAAACAACATGGTTTAATGCAACAAAACTATTAAATTTTTTATTCAACAAAATAATGTTTCGTATAAAATTATGTTTTTGTAACGAAACAAATATAAGTCAAACAAATAGATATATTAAATTTAAAGAAACCTTTTTCTCTGTGTATACATTGTAAATATTTATGTTACATTTTTCATATTTTTAAAACGGAGAAAGAGGGGGAGAAGAGGGAAGAGAGAGGGAGAGAGAAAGGGAGAGAGAGAGAGAGCGCGTATTTGCCTCTACAGAACATAAGCTAAACTTTCTTATTACTAGAGAAAGACATATGTAAATATTCTTCTTAGATCAGTTTTAGCACGGTATATATTCGTACTTACGGTGTATACTGTGTGCTTGTATATATTTTACTGTCAAATACAATTCATGAAGCATAATGAATATCTATACTATATTCGATTGCATAACTTCACGTGTTGAAATATTTCCGTCATCAAGTGTACAAAATATGAACTGCATAAAGATAGCATTGAACAAAAAAAATATTATTTTTGAGACGCAATATGATACGTTTATGTGATAAGATAATTTTAAATAGTCGTATTTATAGATATGTTGGAAAAATCGATCATATTAATATATTCAAGCAATTTCAAGAAATATGTCCGATTTTCTTTCTTCATGTATTATTTTTATTTGTTGCTCCAAAAATATATTCTCTTTTTTTTTCAATGGAAATATGTTTTATATATGCAGCTGAATATTTGAAACAGTAAATTAAAAAAAAAATCATTGATTTGGCATAGATACAACAATAAATTATTCAGAAATTTATCGTAAGCATGAAACTAAAAGCCAAAAATGAAATTGAGTAATTTGACGATAATATAGTCACATTAATATTACAAGAAGTGTATAACTTATGCGCGCACGCGAGTTCCTGTTACAATCTTTAATACAATAATAATAGTTTATGTTTTTATCTAATGTAATAATAATTTAATTATATAAATTTCTTCAATTTTAAAAAACATTATAAATAATAAAAATTTATTATATAATGTTATGCTATGCTGGTAATGCTATAAAAGAATTCAAAAAAATAATATTTTATAAATTGTAAAAAAAGAGTGAAAGAAAGGTTTAAAATCTATTTTTAAATAAAAAACATCAGCGGACAAGGAGAGAAATGAAAAGAAAAAGACAAGCGTTATTATGTGAAAATTTGTGATTAAACCATTTCCGTGTTCTAAATAAAGAGATCAATGCATAACAATGTAAAATTAATCTTCGGTTGGAGAATTAAGTTATGGTACAGGTAACTGCTAAGTTAATTATTGATTTTTGATATATAATAAAGGACGCGTTGTAGCATTAAGGATCGGCTTCATCAGATGAATTCTTTGCACAGTTGGCTTGTGCGTAAGAACTGATCTTTTCCTGCAGGGGTATCATCCCTGACGTAGTGGTGCAGGTGCGTGAAGCTGACAAGCTATGGCCACTGCGTGTCGAGTTTCTAGAAAATATACCGCGATCCTGGCAACCAAATCGCTTTAGCAGCAGTCGTTTGATCTTCTCCTTCCACACGAAAATAATGAAAATAATGAGACCTTGCAGAGTATTTGTCGCTTATTACAGAAACTTGAATACGAGTATAGTGAAGTATAGCGTGCCGCATAGCGGTAAGCGAATAAATTATACTATTCCAAATAATAGTTACTTTCCGTCAAACAACATGGTTTAATGCAACAAAACTATTAAATTTTTTATTCAACAAAATAATGTTTCGTATAAAATTATGTTTTTGTAACGAAACAAATTTCATATAAAATTATGTTTTTGTAACGAAACAAATATAAGTCAAACAAATAGATATATTAAATTTAAAGAAACCTTTTTCTCTGTGTATACATTGTAAATATTTATGTTACATTTTTCATATTTTTAAAACGGAGAAAGAGGGGGAGAAGAGGGAAGAGAGAGGGAGAGAGAAAGGGAGAGAGAGAGAGAGAGCGTATTTGCCTCTACAGAACATAAGCTAAACTTTCTTATTACTAGAGAAAGACATATGTAAATATTCTTCTTAGATCAGTTTTAGCACGGTATATATTCGTACTTACGGTGTATACTGTGTGCTTGTATATATTTTACTGTCAAATACAATTCATGAAGCATAATGAATATCTATACTATATTCGATTGCATAACTTCACGTGTTGAAATATTTCCGTCATCAAGTGTACAAAATATGAACTGCATAAAGATAGCATTGAACAAAAAAAATATTATTTTTGAGACGCAATATGATACGTTTATGTGATAAGATAATTTTAAATAGTCGTATTTATAGATATGTTGGAAAAATCGATCATATTAATATATTCAAGCAATTTCAAGAAATATGTCCGATTTTCTTTCTTCATGTATTATTTTTATTTGTTGCTCCAAAAATATATTCTCTTTTTTTTTCAATGGAAATATGTTTTATATATGCAGCTGAATATTTGAAACAGTAAATTAAAAAAAAAATCATTGATTTGGCATAGATACAACAATAAATTATTCAGAAATTTATCGTAAGCATGAAACTAAAAGCCAAAAATGAAATTGAGTAATTTGACGATAATATAGTCACATTAATATTACAAGAAGTGTATAACTTATGCGCGCACGCGAGTTCCTGTTACAATCTTTAATACAATAATAATAGTTTATGTTTTTATCTAATGTAATAATAATTTAATTATATAAATTTCTTCAATTTTAAAAAACATTATAAATAATAAAAATTTATTATATAATGTTATGCCATGCTGGTAATGCTATAAAAGAATTCAAAAAAATAATATTTTATAAATTGTAAAAAAAGAGTGAAAGAAAGGTTTAAAATCTATTTTTAAATAAAAAACATCAGCGGACAAGGAGAGAAATGAAAAGAAAAAGACAAGCGTTATTATGTGAAAATTTGTGATTAAACCATTTCCGTGTTCTAAATAAAGAGATCAATGCATAACAATGTAAAATTAATCTTCGGTTGGAGAATTAAGTTATGGTACAGGTAACTGCTAAGTTAATTATTGATTTTTGATATATAATAAAGGACGCGTTGTAGCATTAAGGATCGGCTTCATCAGATGAATTCTTTGCACAGTTGGCTTGTGCGTAAGAACTGATCTTTTCCTGCAGGGGTATCACCCCTGACGTAGTGGTGCAGGTGCGTGAAGCTGACAAGCTATGGCCACTGCGTGTCGAGTTTCTAGAAAATATACCGCGATCCTGGCAACCAAATCGCTTTAGCAGCAGTCGTTTGATCTTCTCCTTCCACACGAAAATAATGAAAATAATGAGACCTTGCAGAGTATTTGTCAAATCGGTGAGATACCAGACGTACATCGGCGCACTCTTATCGAACAGCCATGACACTATTTCCATAGACCAATTTATGCCCATCACGATAAACAGCTTCAAATACAGATTGAACCTACGAATGAATGTTTTTGTTTCTATATTTTTTGTGCTTATGACGATTTATTATTATAAACTAAACATTATTATATGCCTGGAATATATAAAATACATATTTCTAATCACTAAAAACCGGATCAAATTGGAAGATTCTGCTATGACTAAAAACATTCGAAACAATTGATTTTTATATCAATAAAGACAAAATCAATTAAGATAAGAATTTCGAAAAATTGTAATTATCTTATTTTTAGATATTTTTAAATAACATAATAAATTGATCAAGTCTCAATCCCGAAAAATAATAGGACTACGAATCAAATATTCCCCATTCTTTTAGCAATCAAATTAATAATTAATTTTGTGACACAATTAACTTTAATTAACTTAATTACGAGTAAATTACAAATATATGTTTCATATGCAGCCTTTTACTATTCCTAAGAAAATAAATCTACAAGAATTTCAAGCTCAACAGACATTAAAAAACAAAATTAATTTAAAAATAAAACACTATATACAAAAATAACGCATTTTTATTTTTAATTATTATTGATTTAAAGAATTATATTAGACAAATCTCTATTCAATTTTTACTGTTTACTTTTTTTTAATCTTTTCTTTTAATACTCTTTAATGTCTAATATTACGTAAATAATCCGATTACGACAAATACAAAATAACAAAAAAGGGAGTTTTCGGCGTATTTTAATTAATCCATAATATCTCGATCACAAGAGTTTGCATTCAAAAAAACTTTCATTTCGATGTATTTTGTAAGAAAAAAATTCATATGATTTTATGCTTCTGACGTTATAATTAAATATAGTTGTAATAAGGATACAAGAGTCTTAAGAAATATGGTTTCTGTTTTTACTAAATAGGAGCATCCATTTTTTAATTTTATTTGTTTTAATATTATAGTTTGTCATCTTTTCGAGAATAGCAGATGCTCTCAAGGAATCCCGCTCACGCGATCGGAACGGCAGTGACGTGTTTGTTTTTACAAAAGATTTCGCAATTATGAAAGCAAACCTCCGCATGGGAAATTGCCGTCTAAAAATAATCATCTTGGGAACGATTGACATTATACAAAGCCGTTTGCAAACGGATATATCGAAATACATATCTCGTTATCCAGACAAATTATGAGTAATAGCAATGTGCAAAAAGACTTTACTACAAACCATTGTTTATTGTCATCATGACGCCGGCTCTCCGAACTTCTCAGATGAAGGGCTGTGTCTTTTTTATGGCGCACGATCTTCAATGCTGTAGAGATGAATAAGCAAATGTTGCAGAAAACAGTGATACCCATGGGTCCGTAAAAGTATAGCGCTTTCGCTGTCTCCGCTAAAACAGGAAAAAAATCGTAATATTACATCTAAAGATGTAAATAGAAAAAAATCTAATAGTTTTTATTTTTTTAGTTTTATAAAATACGACTTTTTTGTGACAAAAAACAAGCCTTGTTTTTTCGAAATTTGATTTTTCTCAGATATGTATATTTAACATCTTTGATTATTGCAAGTTGATTTTTTTTCATTATTTTTGATTTTTTATATAATGGATTTGAACTATTTTAAATGTATATTGCATTCAAATTGGCTATATAGTTATAAATATGTATATGTAATTACTATTTTTAATTAGGTGAATTCTTAAAAAAAAATCAAAATTGAACTTGAATGAATTGTATTTGTTGTCGATACAAAAACAGTTTGTAATTTTTAAAAATATATTTTATAATTACTATTTTAATATATTAAAAAAGCTAAAGTTCTTATATTTTTT